ACCAGACATCGAGAAGTAATCCATTTGCCTCATGTCTGCCCAGTATGAAGTGCTGCATTTGGCAAACGGCAACCTTGGGTAAACCCGGCTGCTGAGTGGATCCATCGATTTTTTTTCCTCTTCGGGAGCCATCGGGTTTGCGCCTGTTTTTTGGCATACACAAACTGTTGTAGATCATACCCAAAGCGTCTTATATTTAATCCAAATGTATGTTTTTGGCTATCGGATGACACACGGATTAGACAGGAAACAGCTGAGACAGATGACCCGTGGTGATTCAGGCTTTTGAGCAGATGTCCTCCAATATGGAGCCTAATGCAATTAGTCACCCCCCCCAGACCCGGACGCTGTACACCCGGACGCTGTAAACCACGAGTGAGGCGACCTATATGCAGAAAAGTTTTTTTTGTTTTTTTTTTTTAATATATTTCATGAAAGCCAGTTGAACAGCCACCAGTTTCTGTTTTCGATTATATTTTTTTCTCCCTCCCGTTGCACCGCCTCTCTCAAACCCAAGATTTATGGAAACGCGACGTCCATAAGCCATACATACACAATTGACCCCCAAAAGGCAGTGACTCAGCGAATGCTACGGAACCGCTCCAGGGCAGTCGACCCGAAAGCCAGCACAGAGTGTCTTTGTCACATTGGGAACAATGGATGTGAAAGAATCAGAGGAGTGGCCGGCCACTCTGGTTAATGGAGTGAAGAGCTTCCGCGTCGGCCCCCTCCACAACAACGGTTCCTTCATTACCGGCACCGTGTCTTGCAGCATTCTCCGGAAGGTGCAGCGCAAACATCAAATGGGAAGAAGAGGAAATGAATCCATTAAAAAGAAAACCAAACGCATCATTATGACAGCGATGGATGTCTTTTGACTTCAACTTCTAGATTCCCCTTTGGATGCATTAGGTCAAGTGTTTATCACACGCAAGCTTGAAGCTTAGAGAAAACATCGACATCATAAAATACTGTAAATGCTGATGATATGACAGGTTCGTGCCTTTGAGACTTGAATGAGTAAACATCATTTTCTTATTTCAAATATACGCCGCCTTTTAGAGCCGCCAATTGGAGCCTCGTGATTAGATGAGAACATGCAAGACGAATCAACTTGGTTCGATTTGAGCAGCCGATTAAAAATGACTTGCAGTTGACTTTGCCATGTTGACTTTAGATGTGACTAATCAGCAAGGTTGACGCCCTGGTTGCTATGTTGAATTCCAACCGAAGAAAGAAACCCCCAATCTTGCTGCTGTAGACTCCAAATTTCCCCAGTGTGGGACAAATAAATGTTATCTTATCTTATCTTATAACCGCAACTGTAAGTAGAACCTTAATAATAATGCCGAAAAGTATCCAGTACTCTCAAAAAGTTTGGGGAAACTTTTCCCAGCTTAACTTATTAACAACTACCAATCAAGTGATGTGTGTTTATTGGGCCGATATCCCCTTGAATACACCTGAAAGTGTACTTAAAAAAATTAATTGGGCATAATTTTTTTTTACACAAGATTGAACAGGCCGTATGCATTACTAACTACAAGTTTCATTCTAATATGAACCCATCCATCCATTTTCCGATCCGCTTAATCCTCACAAGGGTCGAGGAGGGTGCTGGAGCCTATCCCAGCCGTCTTCGGGCAGTAGGCGGGGGACACCCTGAACGGTTGCCAGCCAATCGCAGGGCACACAAAAGCGAAAAACCATCCACGCTCACGTAGGGACAATTTAGAGTGTTCCATTAACCTGCCATGCATGTTTTTAGAATGTGGGAGGAAACAGGAGTACCCGGAGAAAACCCACGCAGGCCCAAGGAGAACATGCAAACTCCGCACAGGGAGACCGGAGCTGGAATTGAACCCGGTACCTCTGCACTGTGAGGTCGACGCGCTAACCACTGGACCTCCGGGCCGCCCCCAATATGAATCACGAAACTTAATTTGAGCTTCCGCAAACTGGTCAATATTCCAATACTTTTTGCACAACTGAAAACATCTTGATCTCATTGTCAGGCGGCGACTTGGTGGCAAGATGTCAAAACGAGAACAGCATCATGAAAATGTAGACTTGAATGCCAATTGCAATTCCACCAAGAAATTTCAACTGCTTCGCTCCTCGTTAGAGAAGAGCAAGTTTTGCAAAACACACTCGGTGTGTCTTGTGCTGATGAATTTCATGAAGACATTTTCATTCCAATTTTAAGTCATCATGGCATTATGGAATATTTATACTCTGTCTTGGCATATCGTCAAATATAAACACTTGTGCTCAGTCTAAAAAAAAAAAAGTGGCATTGGCGCATCCTTACCAACATCCCACACTTTTTTTTTTTTGGTGTGGTGTGTAATGCAACTGGATGTCCCGTATGTCTCCACTTCTGAGGCTCATGAAGGTTGCCGAGAATGTGCGTCCCGAGGACATTTGCCTCAGCTGAGCAGCTGCTCCCAACAGCTGGTCTAAAGTTAGCAACCGTCAACAAACAAGTCACTCACACCGCTTCGGAAGGCAAGCTACTACGTGCATCACCACCAACATTCAAGTGCTTCGTAGCCAGGGGCGTGTTGAAGCCTTCTTGTGCGCCACAGTCCGCCAGGTTTGCGTGTTTATTTTGGAAACATACCGTGTCGCGCACACACTGTACTTTGGAGGGAACAGACTACAATTGCTTGGTGTTCTTCGAAAGCCAAGTGCGTCTTCAAGTCCTTAAACAAAATGGAACCCATGTGAGCCCCGACAGGAATTTACGCACGAAGAAAAGCCAACACAAACACCTTCCAAACAAATAAACATCTCCCACTTGTTCTTGTCGAAAGGAAGTAGTACAGGAAGGCTGGCCTGAACTTGGCCTTCACCCTTGCCAAACAATGTCAGCAGGAAGAAGTCGATTGTCACTGTCGGACGGAAACCTCGTACGTCCAAATATGGTCAATTTGAGGTTTTCCCACAAATCGAGGTACAGTCATACCTCGGTTGTCGACCATAATCCGTTCCAGAAGGCTGTTCGAAAACCGATTTGTTCGAAAACCGAAACCACGCTTAAAAAAAACAAACAAACAATTTATTGAAGAGGAAGCGTCACTACCTCGTGTAAGGAAGGCGAGAGGAGTCAAGTGGTGCATTCAAGTGCGCTCAGTTTGGTTGAGAACCGATTTTCGGTCGTAATCCGAGGCATAAAAAACTCGAAATTTTTGGTTGAGAACAGAGACGTTCGAAAACCGAGGTTTGACGGTATACTACTGGTCTATCCTCACCTCGTCTGCTTTTTTCAAGGGATTATCAACCGATGTGGAGGACTGAAAAGAGCTTGAGCACAAATCTTAAAAGTCTCTTCAGTGCTCAACTGTCGGTGACTTCTTGTAAAAACCTCCTCAGTACACCTGATTAATATTTCGCGAGAGGAGTCGAGTGGCGCATTTAAGTGCACTCAGTTTGGTCGAGAACCGATTTTCGGTCGTAATCCGAGGCATAAAAAACTTGAAATTTTTGGTTGAGAACAGAGACGTTCGAAAACCGAGGTTTGACTGTATACTATTGGTCTATCCTCACCTCGTCTGCGTTTTTTAAGGGATTATCAACCGATGTAGAGGACTGAAAAGAGCTTGAGCACAAATCTTAAAAGTCTCTTCAGTGCTCAACTGTCGGTGACTTCTTGGAAAAAC